CCCCCAAAACCCCAAAACCCCAAAACCCCATGAACAGATTGAAGTCTAAATTTTAAAAAGAAAGAATAGTTGTTTTTAAGAAGATATTTATGTATTCATGTGACTAACTAGGAGCTATTTAGACTTTTAGTTATGCTAGTTAACTAATTACAATTACTTCAGAATAGACCTCTTTATTGATTTTAATTGGAAGTCGACTGCTGCAAAAAGTTGAAAGCTGTGCTAGATGATGAGTTGTTCTATGCAGCAGTTGGTTGCTAGTTTATTTGGGTCGAGTTAATAAGTTAAGGTATTTATTAAGGGTTATGAGAGTTTTAGAAATTAGTCAGTTGTAGTACAGGCTGTTGACTTTAGACTTAAAATCCTCCTAAATTAGGTATGAATCTTGGCTGGGTAGATCCGTTTGCATTTGGTCTAATATAAACGGGGTTATTGCTACTTTTTTAATTATTCTTTATATATTCAAGTGATCCAGGCAGACTTTAGCTTTCCTTCAAATTATTCAGATTGATAAAGCCCATTCCCATTTCCCAAGCGTCTTTTGGCTCTTTTTTCTATTGAGCTTCCTATAACTCTTGTTATCTTTGAATTTCCTATTGCTACTCTTGCTGCTGTTATTATATTTATTCAGCATTAGGCTTTAGAGAAAGATTTGAGAATAGATTTTATGATTCTACTGTTTAAAATTAGAGACCACTCAATTATGACATTGGATTTTACTATTGGTCGGACACTTGGTTTTATTACAAGAAAAACAAGGAACTCTAATTTGTAGTTACACTATTCTGCTACTGTTGCTATTGTGGTGGCGATTCTAAAAGATCTAACAAATCTTACTGCTAGCTTTATTGCTATTATAGTGGCTGACTATTTTATTACAAGAATGAGAAACCTGTAGGTTGAGTTGTTTAAGGCAGAGGATCTAGTTCTAACAAATTCATGGTGTCTTATTATACTATACTTTAGATCTCAACTTTTGATTATTTTTATTTCTCTGGCAAGTTTTATTCTTCAGAAGAAGATGAATCACTCGAAGATGAACTTGATGAAGAAGCAGATCTTTTTCTTTTTTTCTTCTCGTTTGAGCTCTTTTGTTTTGAAGATTTTTTTTCACTTGAAAGCAATTGTGCTTCATTACTTTTTTTAGGTTCCGGCTAACCCCAAAGTTTTGTATTTATGTTGCTCTTTTTCAATTTATCATCATTTTCCTATTATTTTGTAGTGACAACTGGCACGTTGCTATTTCCTCTTTAGACATCTGATTAACTTTGTTAAGGAGGACCCCATTTTGGCTGATTATCCTTGCTAATATTATTTGGATCAGTATAGGTTAGTGGAGGATTATAATTACTATTTTGATAGCCCTAATTATACGAATCGCTACCAAACCCTGCTAATTTGTTTAAATTTGAATTAGGTTATGCATTTCCACCTGGCTTAATGTAATTAAAGCCTGCTGAAATATATGATCCTGCGCCTGCAACTAATCCACCAATGTTTCTTGCAACATTACCTAGAGTTCCAGAATCATTTTAAGAACTAGCGCTATTTGTATACCCATCATTATCATTAGAGTACTAATTGCTATAGCTTGAAGAATAAGCATTAATTGTACCTATAAAAATATTAATTCTTATGCTTCTATTATAATTATCCATACTTTAAGCAGGATTTTAAAAACCTCCAGATCTAGGATAAAATTTTTCTCTATATTATCTTGCTTATTCTCTTTCCTCCTCTAGCTTTTGCGGACTTGTTAATAAATCTGCAAGTAAAATAGCTTTTTCTCTGATGGATGAGCCTTTATCGATATTATCCTCATAATATGTAAAATTCTGAAGTGTTGTAACCTTAAACATTTCATTTCTTAAGTCTTATTGAACTCTGAAAGGTCCATTTTTCAAAAGATACTCCATTGCACTTAAAGACTATTAATATTGATCAATGACTAAAGCCAAAAATTCGAGAAAACTTCGACAAATATTGTGATTATTCTATTCCTAATCCTGAAGGATTCACTTACCTTCATTATTCTTCTCCACTCATAAGCTGGTACTTCTAGTTTATACTTCAGATAATCTAATATGACTTTGCAATCATCACTATTATTCTTTAACACAAGTAATTACGGAGAATTGCAAGCATCTGCTAGTATTTATAATTTCGAGTTAGCAATATTCCAATTTTCGTTTGCAGTTGCTTCAACGAGAAGCTTATCAATTTCATTCCTGCTAGTATAAACTACTACAGTTTCCTTGACCTTTTCCTTCCTAGGAGATGATAATAAGATACTAATAAGATTAATACATTGAGTAAGCGAGATCTTTTACAGTGTCAAACATCTTCCCTTATTGATTAAATATATATTATTTTATACAAAAATTATTACTTATGTATTTCATCATCCTTAGCATCAAACAAGATTATTAGATAAGTAGGGGTTTTGGGGTTTTGGGGTTTTGGGG